CTGCTCCCTGTCACCCACCTCAGCCCTGGCCACCATGTGAGTCCAGTGACAGCAGAGGATGAGAAATGAAGAGGGAAAATCTGCCCCTAGGGGCTGGTGCCATCAATGATGGATATTTCACAGGGTTCATCGAACAGCATGGCAGGTTGGCCAAGAAGCAGGTGTTAACAGACCAGCAGCGTGCTGTGCTCTCTAGAGCATTTCTTCTGTTGCCTTCTCCCATGGAAAATGCCACTTCACTTGTAAATAATCAAGAGACAGGAGAGGAGGGAAAAAAGGTATTACATTGACCATAAAATAAGCCAGGGGAGAAAAAACAACCCATAAGTGAAATCAGATGTTCTCTAAAAATCTGAAGTTTATTCATTAGAATTCAGTGAAAGGAACATTCATTTTAAAACACAATCAATACATTGAAAAGTTTAAAGGACTAGTAGCAATGAGACCAGAATGGAAAAAAACCCCAAACAAACCCAAAATTCAGACAAGTTGGTGGCCTGGGAGGAGCCACCTCCACTCCCAGCCCTGCTCCCAGAGGGATGGCAAAGCAGAACCTCGGGGCAACCTGGGACAAGGGCTAATTATTTTTTGTCTTTAGAACCAAGAGGCTTTTCTAGTTAATTGATCACTTCACCCCAGTGTAGCTTCTAGGATGACTCAATACCTGTGAGAAGAGCAGGCAGCCCTGCTGGAGAGGGGGGAGCTGCAAAATGAAGGGGCAGAGGGAATGTGAAATGTGGTGCGGGTCCGAGGGCCCTGGGAATGTTTGCCGAGCGAGCTGCCCCCGTGCCAGGAATGGGGGCAAACCCAGTTAAGAACATTTTTTGAAAGCACCATTAGGTGAAGAGCTATTTAATTAAGAGACACGATCTACACAGAGCCAAACGTCTCAACAGCAGTTGCCATCTCTGCTGGTGTTGGTGGGGGGGAAAGAAGGGGGAAAAAATTGCTTTTTGCTGTAATCTTTTGGCTTTTCAGCAACTCAACGTTCTTTTTGCATATCATTGTTTGACATTGTTCTTGTCTGCTCATTCCATCACTGTGGCTTTCTGTGGAGAAGTTATTCCAGACCTTACACCCCAAGCAGGGTCACAAACTCTGGAGGGGCACAAGTCCTGCAGAGTCGAGCAAACAAAGCATCACATTCAGGCAACAAAATCAAAAACAAGAAGAGCCATGTTGAGTAGTGTTGGGTTTTAGCTTACCAAAAGCTCTCCTTGCATTTCTGATCCCAAAATTCAAGGCAGTATTATTCCAAGAAGATGCTTTACTGGTGCCAGTAATGCTGATGGCACAGGGCAGGGCTGGAGCCCCTGCAGGCTCCAGCCGAGCATGGCAGGAGAAGAGGAGGTGGAAAGCTCTACTAATCCCATAAGGACCCCAAGATGATTTAAAGAGCAGTCCTTGGACATGGAGCAGGTGGTGCTGCCCATGCCAGGGAGAAAGCCAAGCTCCCAACCTGGCCAGAGAGCACCAAGGGGAAAAGAAATTTGTCTCCAGAGCGTTGCCACACACCAACCAACAGCATCTCCTGCCTGAGGATTTAAGAAAAGCCCCAATTTTGGATAAGATAATTTAAGTATACAGAAGGGAAAGCCCCAACTGATTTTCTGGTTTCAAAGATGGTCAATAACACTTTCAGGGGAGAATCACAGAATCATAGGAGTTGGAAGGGTCCTCTGAAGATCATCAATTCCAATCCCCCTGCTGCAGCAGGAACACCTAGGGAAGATCACACAGGAACATATCCAGATGGGTCTTGAAAGTCTCCAGAGAAGGAGACTCCACAACCTCTCTGGGCAGCCTATTCCAGTGCTCCATCACCCTCACAGTAAACAAGTTACCATTAGGGAGAAACCAAAGTCCACAAATTCAGATTTAAAACGGATTTTAAAAATACCCCAAACAAACAGAAATAACAGTTGACGAGTGTGACGAAGCAGAAGTAAACCAGAGACAGCTCAGCGGTGTGTGCAAAGAGGGAGGGGGTGCATCAGTACCAGGCCAGGTGCTGGGCTTCAGAGCTGGCCCTGGGGATAGGAGGGAACAGCACAGGTCAGAGGAGGGCAGGAGGAGCGAGGTGGTTCCCTTGCATTGCACGGGCAGTGGCAGCAGCAGCAAAATAATTGCCTTTTCTCCATCGGAACGGTAAACCACACCACTTTGAAAGACAACGCACACAAGTAAAAGAACAGTCCATAAAATTTCCCTGTGAATATAAAATGCAAAACTATACAAAAATAGATAAAATCGACCATTTTCTTATGTGTATAAAAACAAACAAACAAACAAAATACCCCCAAAGTCCCCAAAATGCAATACAGAATTACTTGGTAGACTGACCCGAACGTCAGTGGTTTAGGCGCAATTTAAGAGCCAGAATTCAGCCCTGAGAGGCAGGACCCTCCCTGGAAGGGACGAATTCAGGCGAGTTCCTTGAGAGGAGGCTGTTCCTTAGTATCTTGGCAAGACAATCTGCTAATCCTGACTTTCATGACTTATTTCTGGTTCAGAAGCCCTTTTTCATAGAAAGCCTCAATTGCTGCTTTCAAATTTGAGTTCCTTGAGTAAGGCAGTGCTGGACTAACGGCTTGATCCAGATCAAGGCCAGAAAATCTGCTCCTATTTATCCCAAGACAGATGGGGATTTTATGGAGAGCAGTACATTAGGCAGTGAAATCCAATCTCTCTGTGGCAGCAATAGCATACAGGCTTATTTCTTATTTCTTTGGGTTAATGGGGCAGAATGAGCCAAGAATGCAGCAAATTAGCTCCAAAACTCCTTTTAAATCAATAGACATTTGCTTCATTTAGTTTGTATCAAATTAAGAGGAGAAACCTTTGGTCTAAAGTCAGATTATCAAGTCTTGGCTGTATTGCTTTCACACATTCAAGCCTAGAAGCTTTTGTTACGTACCTACAACCAAAAAAATTATTCCTAGAGACATGCATTTGCAACTGAACATTCATTTTAGCACCGAGACACTTCCCCACCTCACCAAGGCTTTGGCAAAGGCTGCACCACGTCTAAGCAAAACGCTACACAAAAAGCCCCTTTCACCCGTGAGATGCCTTTGGTGACACGTGAAAATTAAACAGCAATTATAAAAACCAGGCCAAGCAATGACAGTGCAGGTCTGTGGGACAGCCCCTCCGGTGCCGCCAGCTCGCTTTGCTGGTGGGTTTTATTTTGTGAGTGGTGGTGCGATGTGCAGTGCTAAGATCTGGCCCTGCCATTACTCCATGTGAGAGGAGCCTGTTCCAATTAGGCAATGTTCGTTAGCAGAGGCACACGTGCTGTGCTAACGAGGGAGACTGCACTCATAACCTCAGAGATGGGGGGACCTTGTGCCAACCAAATGCCTTCTTCTCTACAGGTGGGGGATGCAGGAGAGGCAGCAACAGCCAGGTTTGTCCCACAAGCCCCTCTCCAGCTGCATACAGAGATGGGAGGAAAAATACCATGGCCCAGCAGGTTCCTGGGGTAACTCCCTGCAGCAGCACTGGTAGGAAAACACTGAAAAATTAAGGCTTAAGCCCATGGATACATGGCTGGATCTACTCCAGCCTCAGCTGTCTGTTCAGGAAAGTAAACAAATAAATAAGTTGAATGGTGGGCAAGCAAAGCCTGGCTTTGCTTTTCCCTGCTCCTTCAGATATATTAGGAGGCAGCAGGAAGGAGTCTCAAAAAAGACTATCAGGACCTCACCTTGCTCGGAGGGAAACAAACAAAACTGTAAATACAATGATGCAGGATGCTGACATTCCCAGGCAGAGCCACAAAGCAGAAAAGGAGCAACTCAGGGCAGAGGCAACAAAAATCATCATCAGTAACTAAATTAAAATCAGAATACAGAACATGGGCAGGAGGAGGAAACAGCTTTGTAAGTCACAGACAGGGAGTTTTGGTTTACAAACAAGCATGTTTGAGATCACATTGAACATGGGAGACACCTCTAGGACCAATGGTCTGAAATAGGTTATTTCCAGATGTTTCCATCCACCTCCTGCTTTTTTGTTCCTTCCAGTTAGGAGGAAGAAGCTGTGATGCCCAATTGGAGGCTGCACTATATCCTGTATTCCAATTAACAGAATACTTGCCTCTTATGAGCTTATGCAAAGAAAACAACTGCAAAATAATGGGGAAAAAAAAATAAATAACAAAACTTCCTTATGAAGAAAGTAACAACATCTGCAACTTTGCAGCTACAGGCACGAGGCAAGTTTAGCTTATTTCCAAGGCCTCATCCACATGCCCATGGCCCAGGAGAGGCAAGGAGTGAGGGACAAAGCATGGAAAAGGTTTCAACTGGGAATTATGCACCATGAAGACAGACCATGACAAAGGGACGGACACTTTGTTCCTCAAAAGGACACCATCAACAGCACATCTCTCCAAACATGGAAAACCTTATTGAGACACACACAAGAGCTCCTGCTTTCCTTTGGGACAAGGGGAAAAAAAGAATAAATTAAAAATGTTACTGCAAAGCTCCCCTTTCAGCTGCGTCACCTCCTGTCCCCACTCTGGAAACAACTGGCATCCTTCCTCCCAGCCTCCCCAAATTGAGACCGAGATGGAAGACATTCAAAGTAAGTCTGAACCAAAACATCTCACCAGAGGAAGAAAAAAACAAAAAACAACAAACCATTTCTGTCAAAAGTTTCCCCAAGACTTGCCCCCCCAGCTCCAATCCTGCAGAAACCCCCCTAACCTGCCATGCTAGCAATGGGTCCATTCCTAGCTCTTATTCTAGCAGCAACGTGGGCTCACACCAGGACGTGGTGTTCAAGAGTGTGGTAGAAAACAAGAAAGTGCCTCAGCATTAATAGATGAATCCCAGAGGCAGCTCCAAGCCCTGCTGGAGGATCCGCAGCAGTGAGACCACGTACCATGGCCACGGGAGAGGAGCTCATCCCGGTCAGCTAAAGTCACTCACAAATGTTGATGTTCTCCCTCCTTGCGCTTGGCAGCTCTTGTCACACTCTTCACAGAGCAGCTATTTGGCTTTGGTGACATTCATGGCAGTGCTCTGGCAGCCCGTGGGCAGCACGCGGCCAGGGGGCGCTCTGCCTTTCAGGGGCTCTCCGCAGCACTCCGGGCTTTGTACGGCACTGGTGCTGCCGTTGGGATGCTGAGGCATTCCCTGGGCAATGCCGATGGGTTTGCACTTGGTGCGCTTCTCTGGGGAGCAAGAGAAACTAAAGCCCGTGGGCAGCTCGGACTCAGTTTCTCCCAAGGGTAAAAAGTGGGACAGCTTTTTGGTGCTGAGGTCCCCGTGGTACCTGCAGGAACTGGCTGTCTCCCGGGACTGCCTGGTGTCAGGCTGCAAAGGTAAATCGGAGGGTCGGAGCAGCCTGCTCACCTCCAGCTCTTGGGGCCGCCTCTCCGGAGCCTGTCCAGCAACACTCTGGGAAAGAGACAGGAAAGGGGACATGGTGCCCTGCAGCTCTGGTGGCTCCCAGGTGCTCTCCATTGCAGCAGCTGGAGCGAAGCCCCAGTGCTTCATCCCCCCAGCAGCCATGTCGGTGTCATGCGGAAGGTGCTGCAAGCCTGGCCAGCTCAACCCACCATCAAGAGCCACCAGCTCGCCCTCCTCCTTGCTCCGGCTCCTCCTTGCTCCACCTGAGTCCTTTTTGCTGCTTTCCCGCTTTGACCACAGCCGGCTGGGCTGAGGGCTGCTCCTGACAACCTGTGAGTCAGCAAGCTCAACCTCCAAGCTCTCTGTGTCAAGTGACCGGCTCCTACGGTCAACAGAGAGGGGTGCTGGCAGAGAGGGGTTCAGCCCATGGAGCCGCATGTGCCGGGGCAGGCTGGCAACACCCCAGTTGCAGCTCTGGAAGGAGCCCGGGGAATACCCCGGGGACATTCTTTCGTCACATTCGGCCAGTGACTCTTTCTGTCCGTAGCCATCGTCAAAGGCCTCGGCAATGTCCTCACCGGCATTCATCTCAGGGTGCTGCTCACACTCCCCTTCTCCTTCCTGCTCCACATCAACGACGTCGAACGTAACCATGGTGGGGAGGGCAGGGAGGTTCTGGGTGAAGGAAGAGCCAGAGGCAGAGCTCCCCAGGCTTTCGGAGAGGCTGGAGAAGAGGGTCCCGCTGCTGGCAAACTCCACCAGCGCTTGCGAGAAGCTCACAGCATGCTCAGGCTCACACTCGCTGCCCACCTGGGACTTGCTGGTGGTGGTCTCCTCTCCGCTGCCACACTCAGGCTCTGGGAGTCTGTAGCCAGGGAACATCCCTGCTTTGGCTGGGGCTATGCCACCGAGGATGGAGCCCCCAAACAACCCACAATCTGGGTCCGAATTGAACCCCGAGTTGTTCTTCGTGAGCTGAATAAGGCAACTTCCTTGGGCTTTTTGGCTGTTGTAACAGTTCGGCTGAGACAGAGTCCCTGGAAAATCTCTCCACTCTGGATTTTCTGCTCTAGCCACCAAAACCCCAGTATGCACACCCCTGTTTGGGGTGTGCGAGGCCACCTGCTCACTACCAAGGCCACTCTGATTCTTGCCCATCGAGCTGGCTGCTCTAGTTTTACATTCAATGCACTGCTTTTCTCGGGGACACTTCTCCTTGTCTGGAAGATCAAGTCGTTTCAAGACCGGCTCCCTCTGCAGCTCCCAGTACAGCAGCTCTTTCTGAATGGCCGCTAGCCGCTCCTCTGTTTCCATCACCCCTCTTTTCTGATCCATCATGTGATTCAAGCTCTTCTCAGCAGGGAGGCAGAAGTCCAAGAAGTAGCTGAAGATCCCCGGGCGTGAGATTTTGCCCTCAAACAGGGATTCATCTCCGTGTGAGGGACTCATCAATGTGTCAAACTCATAAAGTGCATCACCACTGTAACTGTCTCTGGGAAGACGGTCCTTCTTGATCTCACTGAGCCCATCTCCAGCTTCATCCTCTGGCCCTGGGGTGGTGGAGTCATAATAACCCTCATCGCTATTAGGGGCTGACTCTTGCTGGTCACTCTGTGGAGTCAGGAGGTCCACACCATCCATTGCATCCCCTAGGTAGGGATGCGCTTCCACCTCGTGGGAGGCGTGTGTCTCCAAACTGCTACTTGACACCTGGGCTTCATAGGTCCTGTCCCCTGCCACGTTGCCATTCCATATCTGGTGGAGGTACTCCTCTGCCTCCTCAGGTATGGCCATCTCCTCCCCACCACCCTGGTAGGTGACCAGGCAGGAGCTCCGTTTAGCAGCTTCTCTGCTGCGCTCCACAGAGATGGTGCTCTCAGTGATGTCAGGCTCAGCAATGTCATCTCCACACCCTGTCAGGGAATCAAAGCTCTTTAAGGATGTGGCATCTCCTAAGATAAGATCTAGGAGGTCCCCAGAGTGTAGGCAGGGAGGGTCATTGTCGATGAAGTCAGGAGGGAAGTCCAGCAGCAGATTGCCGTGGTCAAACTCTGTGCAGGCAACAGCATCAGTCTCTGATTTTTTATCCAGAGTGTCCCTCTTCCGTGGCATCACCACCATGTCGCCCACACAGGTGCCTTCATCAGCTGTGAGACAGCCAGGCTCAGCAGTCTCCCCGCAGTGGGTGGCTGTGCCTACCGAGCACTTGTCCTCCAAGCAGCCCGGGCAGGCCATGGCAAGAGGGACAGGTCCCAGTTCCCTTCCCTCCATGGCCTCTTGGCTCTCTGCTCCCACACCAGGAGCTTTGCCAGCCTGCTCTGAATCCCCAGTCCACTCGGGGAGCTGTGTTTTTTCACACTCGGGAACCTTGCTCTTCCGGTGACGGCGGATGCTGTTAAAAAACCCTTTCAGGCCTTTTTTAGGTCTGGGAAAGGACTTATCTCCATTGGGCTTTTTCTCACAGCCTTCAATACTCCCAGGTGGAGAGCTGTCCTGCTGGCCAAAATCAAACTTGGCACTAGTGTCTATGGCCACATGAGCACTTTGGGAGCTTGGCAGGGGGCAAGGATGCGAGTCCCTGCTCCCCTCCAAAGGGCTTTCCAGCTGCACCCCATCGCCCTTGTCATAAGCAGCACCACTGAGCCCATCGTGGGTCTTACATTTACTGAGGCCCTTTTTAGAGGCTGCTTTCCCTTGGCCCTTGTTCCTGCCTCCAAAGAAGCTGGGTAGTGTACAGATGCTCCTCTTCCCTCCAAACAGTTTGAAAGCAGTTTTCTTCAGCTTGCCAGGAGGCTGCTGTGGCTCAGCAGCTGTCATGGAGCCGTTGCCCTGCTCGGGCAGCCCGGCCCCGCTCTCCTCCCTCTGCTGGTCACTTCCCTCCGGCTGCCCGCACAGCCCCGGCTGCCACCCGGGCCGGGTGGGCTCCTCTGTGCAGCCTCTTTCCATGGCAGCTGGTCAGCTCAGGTGCATCTAGCTGGCAACGGTAGTGGAGCCTTCTTCTGGAGATGGAGGTGGAAGCATCGCAGCTGGTCTAAAGCAAAAAGGAAGGGGAGAGAGGTGAGGAGTCAGCAATGGACAGGGTGAAGC